TGTCTGAATATCATGATCTCTAATGTTGATTCCATGTACTTAGTTTCCCCTCGTTAAGGTGGAGTCAGACTGAATTGGCCGCCAGTTCCAAACTCTTGAGGAAATCTTGGGCTTCTGCAACACTATCCGTGATTAGAGCAAGGTCGTCAGCAAAGTCTGCATCAGTGACTTTTACAGCCGGATGGCGCTGGCTTCTTCTAGGCTGGAGGGTAAATGACCCTCTAATCTAGGGCAACTGTCATTTAATGTAATCAATTACAATTATGAAAATATGGACTATACATTTTTCAGCCGCTCCGTGGCCAAGGTGACTATTTCATTATGTTTCACCCTCAATTCCATACCATAATGTATTGAGCTTTGCTGATTATATTACTGAGGTATTATTAGTTATTCATTAGTCAGTTTTTGGGTTTTCCAAATAGTTTCTGATTATTCTGATTTGCGACAAATGATATTGCACTGTTACACGACAAATGATATATTCATTAGTTATTCATAATTGCCAAAAAAGTGGGAATACAATTATCGTCTGTGAGTCCAGAACTCGCATCCTGCAGATTGGAAGAGAATGCATTAACCTATTGAGCCACGTAGTCGACTAGAAATTAAGTAGTCAGATTCTTAGGAATCTGGAAGAATTTCTAGGAAGTAGTTGGCATATTTGCCGCACGTTTTTTTTGCACGTTTTTTTGTCCCAAGAATCAACAAGGATCTAGCTAGATCTAACATATGCGCTCAATTCGAACGTCTTGAGAACCCCTGAGAGCAGCTAATTTTAAATTAATTTGAATATTCTTTTGTTGACAAAAATCAGTCAATTATGGCTATGGAAACATTATGACTAGGATTTAAATTCCTCACTTTTAGTTGAACTGTGTACTATTTGTAGGGCTGAAATGGAAGAAATAGGTGTTATTGTACCTAAACCGACTCCGATAACTGTAAGTCTCATTACATATGGGATCGTTCACATTTTAAATAAGCCAGATGCTATTTTACACATAAGTAAGCATTTCAAAATCCTTTCAAAAGTTTGGTACAATTTCTTTTATCTTCTTTGTGGTTAGTTATTTCCTTTAACACAACACTACTCAAGTCGGAGAAGTCATTTGACAAGCTAGACAAGCTCGACCAGAATGATTTGTATACTATGTACAAAAAACTACAGCAACAATTAGAGTTTCTCAATGTGCAGGAGGAGTATATAAAAGTCAGTTCTTTAATTTTTATGTCAAAATTTGCATACATTTTCAATTTCTTTGCTGTCTTTTCTTTTTGGGATGATTAATGATGATAATGGATGGGAAACATAACTCAAACTGTGTATCAACACATCATGCATTAACAATTGCTATGTAATGTGTATTATCAATGTGAATCTAACTAGGACGAGCAGAAGAACTTGAAGAGAGAATACAAGCGAGCTCAGGAAGAAGTGAAGCGTATCCAGTCAGTGCCGCTTGTTATAGGACAGTTTCTGGAGGCTGTAGATCAGAACACGGCTATTGTGGGTGCTACTACTGGCAGTAACCAATATGTCAGGATACTCAGTACCCTTGACAGGTGAACACAGCAATCATACCTCAGGGTTCTACGTGTGGTATTTCACAACATTGACAATGATTAGAGTCCAGTGGAAGCTAATGTTGTTATATCCCAGGGAGCTCTTGAAACCGTCAGCATCAGTCGCACTACACAAACACTCCAACGCGCTGGTAGACATACTGCCCCCTGAAGCGGACAGTAGTATTGCTATGTTGCAGGCTCACGAGAAACCTGATGTCGCTTACTCAGGTTAAATAACGGCATATATATTTCCATTTCAAAAAATCTGTTATTATATCTAGACTGTACACGAAAACACTTCCGTATCCGGTCATAGTTGATCAATGGAAAAATAACTTTACTGAGTTTACTGATTTAAGGGAGGGAGAAAGTTTCCTGGTGCTTCCCCCCCCCCCCCCCCCCCCCCCCCCCCCCCCCCCGGGCAATCCTATCACCCTCAGCAGTGGGGGATCGAAACCATGACCATTTATTCCTCATTTTTTGGTCAAACGGTCATCGATAGGTACAGCCTTAAAAACAGCTAAAACTTGAGTTGTGATAAAATAAGCATCATGTTCGCCGTCCTCTAATTAGCAAGTACAGCTATATTTCAGTTCAATATAGTATGGTACATCAGAAATATTGATTTTTTGCGAAAAATTATGACCATTTTGCCCATTCATTCGACTTTTGATCGAATTGGCACGGGCATTTCGATGGGCTTAACGTTTTTAAATGTTTCAATTTATTATAGCTTACTTCAGATATCGGAGGTATGGACATACAGAAGCAAGAAATAAGAGAGGCGGTGGAGTTACCACTAACACACTTCGAACTCTACAAACAAATAGGTACGTTCTCACTACAACACTACAACAGTATAGTTAGTATAGTTCACTACAACACTACAACAGTATAGTTAGTATAGTTCACTACAACACTACAACAGTATATAAGTGAAGTGATCCCAGAAGGAGTAGAGTTAGCTCTGTTTGCAGATGATGCCTCCCTGTGGGCATCAGACATCGATCTCAACAAAGCCAACAGACAAGTTCAGCTAGCTCTTGATAAAGTACAGGAATGGAGCAACAGGAAAAAGATGATGCTCAATGTAGATAAAAGTGAAGCTACGTTCTTCACTCCAGCTACTAATGAAGCAAAGTGGAGACCCTCCTTGAACCTGGATGTAACACCTATCCCGTTCAACGCTAGCCCAAAGTTCCTTGGGGTTCATATGGACCGAACACTGTCATTTCAACAGCATGTCACTGAAGTGACCAAGAAAGTCTCTGAACGCTGTAAGATACTGGCGTCCCTGGCAGGAAAACAGTGGGGCTGGAGAAAAGAAAACCTACGGAGGGGTGTACATTGCTACCCAGAGGAGCGTACTTGATTATGCTGCAGCTGCTTGGCAACCATGGCTATCTGCTACTCAACTCAACAAGCTAGAAGTAGCACAGAACAAAGCCCTGAGGCTAGTCACTGGTCAATACTCGTCAACACCTACAGAAGCGCTAAGAATCGAAGCTGAAGTTGAAAGCTACAAGACACATAGTGAGCGAATCATCACTATTGCTGCAGAAAAAGCAGACCGACTCCCTTCAGATCATCCAAGGCACGCAGCACTACGCCCTAAAACACCTACCACCCACAGAAGCAAGATCCGTAGTTCCTGGAGAGAGAAAACTAACTCCACCAGAGGGCAACTACCAACTCACGGAAATCCCGTAGAAGCCCTCCCATCTCCATTCCAAAAGCCCTGGGAGAATTCAGAAGAACAGAGGAAAAGGAACTGGAAAGTGTTCACAGCACTCCCAGAGACTCCTATGCTAGTACCCAAATCCCATCCAGCTGTGCCTAACAACCAACACCCTTTCTCCACACGACCAAGAGACACTTTCTGGGACACAAGCGATTCAGCTAACGAAAGCTCTGCCAAAAGACTGACCGCCCAAAGTGCTATCAGAATGATTGACAAGTACGACATATGTACTACCATCTATACTGACGGATCATGTAAAGGTGGAACAAAGGAAGGTGGAGCAGCAGCAGTTATCACCACAGGGTCAGCAGCTAACCCCGTTATACTGGAGACCATCAAAAAGAAGGGAAATAAGTTCACCTGCTCCTATGGTGAGGAGAAAACTGCACTTACGGAAGCCCTGAAATGGATGACAGAGAACCAGAAGTATGATGACACCATCATATGCTCTGATAGCCAGGCATTACTGACTAGCATCGATAGCCTGAACCCAGACACACAGAATATCAGGAAAACTCTGGAATCACTCCATGGGACAACGTACCTGCACTGGATTCCCGGCCACTCCAACATTCCTGGGAACGAATACGCTGACAAAGCAGCAAAGGAAGCAGCACAACTCCCGACCTGGGCCAAGGACAGTCTACAATCTCATACGGAGTTGCCAGAGCAGTAGCAAAGGCTCACATCAAGGATAGCGACCCCCAACACCACCTGGTCTCCCAGACTTACAAGGGATACAACAGAAAAAGAGCGGACAGTAAAATAGAGAGCAGGAAAGACGGAGCGCTGCTAGCACAACTCAGAGCAGGCCATTGCCTTCACCTGTCCCACTACAAAAATAGGATCGACTCTACAAAGAGTGCAACTTGTCCCCGTTGCGGAGAAGAAGAAGAAACGGTACCACTCTGGATTCGGTGCCCTGCAACGATCAGGACGAGAGAAGAAATCTTCGGAAAATCTGACTTAAAACTTGGACATACTAACCACCAACCCGATAGAAATCCTGGCGTTTGCTAAGAAGACCTTGCTTGAGGGACCCTTAGACGCCTAGCCCATCACCACCACCACAACAGTATAGTTAATATAGTTCACTACAACACTACAACAGTATAGTTAGTATAGTTCACTACAACACTACAACAGTATAGTTAGTATAGTTCACTACAACACTGCAACAGTATAGTTAATATAGTTTACTACAACACTACAACAGTATAGTTAGTATAGTTCACTACAACACTACAACAGTATAGTTAGTATAGTTCACTACAACACTACAACAGTATAGTTAATATAGTTCACTACAACACTACAACAGTATAGTTAGTATGGTTCACTACAACACTACAACAGTATAGTTAATATAGTTCACTACAATACTACAAATTAGTTGTAAGTTCACTACAACCTACAACAGATATTTTTTTTTAGTTTCCCACAAAACCAACATATTTATATGGTTTACTACAAAACCCCCAAAATATATTATATAGTTCCTACAACAC